TGTTTGTTTGCTTTTTTTTCCCTCGTGTAAGGCTGATCTCATAACAGTTCCAGTAGTTCTGTCAGGGAAGAAAAAGAAAAAGATTCCAGGTGTCTTTTTGATTATTCCGTTCTAAAATTAGTTTCCTTTTTTTCAAAGTAAATTTTGTACTTTACACATAAGGACATAGCTTAAAACAGTGGAAGGTTTCTTTTCAACGCTGTTGTTTCAACTGCCCATTTATAGACTGATGTGAATTGACTGAATTAGTCGTGCCTATGGTGTACCACATTTGTTCTTCATACTGTTAAGTCATAATGGCCATATGAAATGGACAAACTAGCCCATCGAATAATTTGGTTTAGCTAATTTCTAGTTTATTCCAACCACTTTTATCCTCAAAAAACTGGTCGGCTTTGTTTCACATATGCATTTTGTGGCTTGTGGTTTCGTACTTGGTTTTCATAGGTGTTACATCTGGATTGTGGCCGAATTTTGAGGGGCAGTTTGTTTGTTTTTATTGTCTGCTGCTCGTTGTGGTGACTTTTAGCTTTAATAGACTTTCGGTCAAAGAAACCTCTGCGAGCGCATGAATTTTATGCTGCCGCTAGTTAGCAAAGTGGTTAGAAAGTTTGGAGAAAGTTGTTATCTAGTATTCCTTTATTTGTGACGTTTTTCTAATTGTAAGCTATGTACAACTTTCAGAAAGTTATAAGTATTGTTTTTAGGCTTCTTTAGAACTTTGTTACTGTTAGGGTCCAGAAAATATGCTAGAACGGTTTTTAATTCAAGAGATAGTACTATTTTGGAGTGAATGGCCTACGAATTTAAATGAGTTTCAAATGACCCTAGTTATTTTCCGTATTAGTTAATACCTGCTGCGTAAAACACGGCGCTAATTTCTCCACCGCATATTCACAGCATCTTTAATTCGATTTGTTTACAGTAAGCAGTGGCGACGAAGGCAGTTACTGTTTTCTCTAATAATGCATTATGGCTTTTAACTCTGTTGTTTTTAATGATTTATATGAACCTTTTTTGTAATGTTTTTTTAAAAAGTATGCGAACGAAACAATTTTGGAAATAGGGACATTAAATATGGTGTACTTGTATAAAAAGGTATATGAGTAGACGGATTAATTTTACTGAAATCATATTTGCGAACAATTGCTTTTCGTTTTTTCAGGATTTAGTGGTTTAAGGGATGCATTTTTGGGATATGCGAGTTTCCTTAATTTGTTTACTGCTTTTTATTCTTTTAAATTGTCAACTGAAAGCAATGCATTTTAAGGGTGCGGCATTGATGCAAACTCTCAACGGCTGAAATCTTTTATAATTCAGATCGCTTTCTGTTTTGCAGCTAACAAGGATTATCGCAAAAAGAATGGTAGCAAAAAGTGGCCGGGCGGTTCCAACGGTCAAATTGCTTGTATCTGTTTTTCCCGCACGTTTTGAAATGCAGTTGAAGGGTGGGCGGTTATGCGTTGTTCAGGTACCGTGACGCCAAAACTGTTGTGGACGCAAAGGAATGAGTTTTTTTTTTCTAACGATCCCGACCGTACAGGTTAGGCTCCATTGTGCAGTTCCTAGTGTTGCCTACCTTGTATTTTTCTGCTCAACGCGTAGACAATTTGTGTTAAAGGTTTCTTTGTTACCGATAGTCACTTTTTGTCGCTTTGGAAAAGCTAATTAAGTTTACTAGTGCTGAGCAACAATTATAATTGGAAGATTGAAATGGGTTTTCATTTTATTGGTTTTGTTAAGTCATTGAAAGAAGTTTGCATTCAGTGTTGTTTTTTCTGGCTAGATGCATCACTTTTTAAAAATTTGATTTGGGCGAACGGACGGACAGATTTTCTGTCATATTAAAGGAATTATTTGGATGAAGGAGCCTAGATTTTATGCAGTGCAATCATTTGAAGTGATTCAAAGTGTGCGTTTTTAAAGTTAGAGTTGTTAAGTCGTTGTAATTCTCAACTTTTGTCTTTAGTAACGGAAAACAAGTATTTTTTTCGTTTTACAGCAACCTTTTGGTTTTGAGATGAATGTTTATGAAGGGTCTGTCCTTTGTAATCAGTTCATTTTGTGCGCTCTGGGAAGTCTGGTTCCACATTGATTGGTACTTGTTGGAACTGAATATTGTTGTGGTAGCGTCAGTTTTCAATTGTTTTTCTCTATTTTTTTGAAAAGCTAGTAGGACTGATGACAAAATTTCATTTCATTGTATTCGTTGGTACCGCCGAAGTGTCGGAATGAAATAATTTTTTAATTTAGCTGGTAATAAGTTTTTAGGAAACTGGTGCATTGGGTTCGTTAATTATTTTCTTGTTATCGCCTTTCAGTTTTGCTGTTTTTCTGTTTTGTAGAAGTTGGATTTGGGTCCCTTTCCTTCTAAAGTTCTTTTCCATAGTATAGCGGTTTGCATCTTTACGGTCACCGTATTTCTGACATAAAGTCGAGTATCTTAATATGTCTTTTTTTAGCTGAGTGAGTCGTTACCGGTGGGTGTTGCGGTGAAGATGAGTAATAACGAAGGTGGAGATGAGTGCTACAAGTGTCACGAGAAGGGGCATTACGCAAGAAATTGCCCCACGCAAGGTGACAGTGGTCGAAGGGGTGAGATATTTGGTTTTATTGGTCTAGAAAGGAAAAGAAATATGTTTGGTAAGAACGGCGTATTCCGTACTAAGAAGTGTTTGGCAGTTGAATATTTTTAAAGGATGTTACAACTGTGGTCATGCGGGGCATTTTGCTCGAGAGTGTCCTAGTGGGCGACATGGACGTTTCAGTGGCTCTTATGGCGGAAGAGGCAACCGGAACATAGAGTGCTATCAGTGTGGAGGTTCATTTTGTTTATAACCGTGTTTATTCTTGTTTTGGAGGAATGTTCTATGAGTGTTTTAACGTCACGGCGCGTAGAGATTTTTTTTTGGATGTACAGTGACAATTTCTGCTCAATCAGTGGGAAACTATTGTTATTAAAATCACAGGATTAGGTACCCTAATCATGTTTCAGGTACCGGACATTTGGCTCGTGAATGTCCATCGGAACGTCGTGGTGCACAGAAGTGTTTTAAGTGTGGCAAACCTGGACATTTCTCGCGCGATTGCACTGACCAATCCCAGGATCAGAAACGTTGCTACACTTGCCACCAAGCTGGACACATCAGCCGTGACTGCCCACAAAACAGTTCGGATAGTCGCAACGACTAGAGCAAGATTCTTTGCGTGCGTAGAGGGGGAGGTGTAACGAGTCGTTTTCGTGGATGTGTTGGAGGCGTTGTGTTGGCTCAATACACGGGTTTCCTACATTTCTTCGTCGAGATCTCTGATTTGTTAAATAGCTCTCTCTATGTAAACCTCTGTTTATTTTTCCCTTTTTTTTCTGTCTTTAAGGATTATTGTATTCCCTCTTACTCTTTTGATCTGTTATTGAGGTCGCCATGTTTTGCCTGCACCGGAACTTTACTTCAGTGGAATGGCAGTAGACTCCCATTGTTTTCATTCCTTAAGTTGTTATATTTTACTGATTTGTTCGTCACTTTTATCTCCTTTACTTTGAGATTTTTAATTTGTTACCGTTCACAAAGTAATTTTAAGGGGGATCTTTTGAAGTTGTTTTTTATTTGTTTTTCTTTTTATTTTTGCTGCAGATCTTAATGGAAGGTTAGATGGGTCTGTCTATGCATCTTTCAGTTGTTACCTGTAATGGCTTTGTTTTGTTGAAATGAGATGATATGTATAGCGGGGTATGGGGCAGAAAATTGTTTCTTTGTCTTTTTTTTTTTTAACCTTTATGCTCATAGGATACTTGTATCATGGTACTCGTACTGGCGAGCGAGAGTAAAAGAGTGGTGGTCTTTTCTTGTCGGCCTGAAACAGTCAAGCTTCCATTAAGTTCTAGCGAAATAAAGTAACAAGTAGACTAATACTGGTCTAAGCAGTAAGTTAAAAGCCTCTCCACTTTTGCTTTATGGGGAACTGGAGAATGCCAGCCTTTATTTGATGTTTACAATAATCTTAACTTTATTGTTAACTGAGTAAGCTCAAATCCTGTGGGGCTTTACCGTACGCGCAGTTTTGCAACTCGGCTGCACGACGCGGATGAGAGCTTATCCAACGCTTAATGTTAAAACTTCCGAAGGTCATCCTCCCATTTTTTTCGATAAATTTGGTACAGTCTCATCGCCACCTGTGCATCAATGACCTGAAAACATGGTTCAAACGTTTGCAAGGCTGCAGCAGAAAAAATGCGAAAGAAGTTACTGGGTCGCAGACCGAGTTGTGCTCGCCATTTTGAATGTTGATCCCCAAGATTTTCTCTGCGAGCGACTTCAGCGAAGGAGACTTTTTATTTACTGTCTTTTTGAATTCCATATACTTTGAAGTATCTCGAGTTAACCTGCGAGGGTGCAGTATATTAAGGACCTAAAGAACATTATTTATCTCAACTTAATGTTTATATTTGGAGCAGTACCTTGAAGTCATTTTGCAGAGCGTGGCCAACAACGGTGCGTCCGGCTATTAGTTTTCTCACTTCTAGCTGCACCTTTTTAAAAGGTTCACCTGCAAAAAATTTATCATCCAGTGAAGTAATACACATTTGAGGGGACAAAAGAAAATGATTTTGTTACGAAAAGGGTCAAAAACAAGCTTTATTTATAGCAGTAAAAGAGGGTAGCATTTTCCGGTGATGTTACTCGCGACTTTTAACTTGACAAAGGAGTTTTTATGAAGGAATATGAGAATTGCTGGTTAAAAAAGCGCAAAAAGCCATTCAATTGGTAATGCGTCTATTTAGTAACAAAACTTATTAAGATTACTGGAAATGTTACGGGAAGTGAACCGTACTATTTACTAAATTAGCCGGCCGTATACCACTGAATTCAGTCCGGAAATCTGTAATACGTTCCGTAGGCCTAACATATTTATCGTAGATACACTCAGCCTTTGAATTAACAATGGAAACTCTGGCTAGGATACTTTTCGCTCCACTACTGCCCGCGCCGACAAATTCACAATCCAATGCGACTACTTTTGTTACTTCAGGGTCCCTGTAAAACTATCTTTTAATTTGGTAGCAACATTGGAGTATAAGCGTGTCATATGCTTACACATCCGTTAAACTCAGAACAAAAAACCTTCCAAAAGTCCTCAGAAAAAACACACAAACGGCCTTAAAGCAGCAATAAGAAACTTCACTTATTTTCAGGGATACTGGTTGAATTTGCTTTCATTACTTCTTCACGCCGTTTTTTCCACTTGTTTTCGGTTCTTGCCGAAGTTTGAAACACTTCCTCTGCGTTTTTCCTCTTACGCCGATTGAGCACCATAGCTAAGCCATCGTTCGACTGCCTTTTTTTAAACGTTGACGGTTTATTCCTCTCAAGGTCCAGTGTCTGGAAAATTTACCTCTGAATAGCACTGAGTGCTCAAATTCTTTGCACCTCCACATATTTTCAACTTTTTCCAAGTAACATTACCTCGCTAAGTTACTACTGCATATCTAACTTCCAGAACCAGTAGCTCTAATCATTTCTGAGGTCAAAGAAACGCAGCTCAAATAAGCGTCTCTTGCTACCTTAAATCTTTTCTTAGATTTTTACAATTACTCCTGAGTGATGCTTTAGTCTTCACTATCACGTGTTTAAGACTCGAGAAGAAACTGCATAATACAAAGTGAGGTTGACTTTCTAAACCATCAGTTTTCCAGTTATACCGTTAGTAGAAAGTCAAGTATATTCTTCAAAACCGTATTTTTCCCAAGAAACTACGATTTTCACCGTGCTAAACAAGTGTCTAAAGTTCCACTTCTCACTTTATTATCTCCCTCAAATAAATTTGCATCCCTTGAGTCCGAGAAACTTGTTTTAAATATTATAAATCTAAGTCCCAATAATTAATTTAAAATGGAAGCAAAAAACAGTTCTACAGTAACTAATAACATGTCACATGCAAATAAATCTTTGATGTTTTTTAATTAAAATTACATTCATAAGAAGCCTATGAAACGAACAAATTAATGAGCATGCATGTGTAAATTTATATAAATCAGGAAGCCCTGAAACAACTAACGGAGAATTTCTGATGCGCAATCTTCGTAACCTGCCAGCAAAACCAAAACAGTAATAGAAGCAGGGGAGGAAATATAAATACATTGACCGAAATCATTATTCCACTGTTGAATAATTAGAGGCAGGAGGGAAAGCACGAGCCTTTGGACCACTTTCCTCTCATATTCTATGTAAGAATTAAACAAAGACTATGAATTAATCTTACCTAAACTTCATAATTAACTGTAAAGCTGTTTGCTGCAAACCTAAAACATGAAAAACAGCGTGGAGGGAAGGCGTCCTATCTAGAAGTGCTCTCTTTTCAATACCTTGCAAATGTGCCTCTTGAAGCAGATTTGATATCCTCTCTTTCCTTCAAATACTGATCTACCCCTTGCTATTACAAGTATCTTTTCAGCGAACTGTTTTTCAAAATCCCCCCAAAACTAACAGGTCACAAATGTGGTCTAATCTTTTACGAGGTTACTTCCAGACTGTTGCTTGAACTTCTACTTCGTCCTAGCTTTGAGTGCATGACAACTGCAGTTTCCGTCAAGAATTCCAACAGCCTTCGTGCTTCTTTCTAAAGCAACAAGAAGACACTTATACTCAAGTCATCAAATACATATAACGTGTATGAACGGGTTTCCGTAGAGTTGGCACCAACTAATGTTACGGTTGGGCAAGGAGGAAAATCAACTCTTTCAATCCAAGCGAATTAAACGTAGTCGAGCCGAAGTTAACCCCTAAGAAAATTTTGAACCAATTATTAATCAAAATAATGCATCATTCTGCCTGACGGAATGAATAGGAGCTACCCTGACAAACTTCTAAAGTGAAACATAAAGCCTCAGTAACATGGAAGATGTGAGTCAAGACAGTAGTAACAAAGCTGTAAACTTATAATTATTTCAAATAACATCCAAAAATTTCACTGTGAACCAAAGTTTACGACATTCAAAAAAAACTTACTATTTGTTTTGAAACTTAAAACTTGAATAGAAAACTGCTAGCATGAAATAACTTTAAAGCGAAAAAAGTAACAAGAAAAAGAAGTTCTCACCGCCCTTAAGACGACGACAAATTCAAAATTTCGAATAATTCCTAACCTTTTGAAGAGCCTTCCAGTTACTGGAAAACAACGAAGCAATTTTGCTACCATCTTCCACATCCATTTATGCCAGCTAATTTCAAGCAGGAACTTTACCAAGCACTAAAAACAGAAAAAATTAAAATAAGATAACCAATGTCCTGTCTTGATTCGAATTCGTTACCCCCCTGCAGATCTGAAAAAAAAAAAAGAGATATTTGCTCTTGGCAAGCTGCCACCGTGACGATATATCAACACTGGTTATAAAGTGATATTTTTTGAGGATGAAGTCATGCTTTCAGAAGTAGTATACTCAAGAATACCTAGGTGCTTATGTAAGTTGTGAATACTCCTGCTTCGTGCGTAATTTATGTTGTCACTGGTTTTCTAGTACCAAAGATGGCGCTTTCAACGAAATAAAATAACTTTTACCCACTCAAACTACAATCCTTAGTTAAATATCAGAATCCTGAGGTGTTCGGTCAAATCTTCAGATGAAGTAGGGTACAGAAATTCAGCACTTTTCAAGATTCTGGTATTTCAAATTCAAACCAAAAAGAGAAAATAGGAAGAGAAAATTGAGCAAATTTTTGAGAAAAACGAGGGTTTTAGTGAAACATTTTATCACCGTTTAAAACGCCAGGCTTTACTCCAATCAAAACTCATTATTTTACGAACCACATTCTAAAATGTACCTGGCAGGAAAAGAGAAGAAAGTTTGATTCCTCGCTACAATTATTTGTCTGTAATACTCCAAATATAAATACACAACTTCATTTATACAAGGAATGAAATAAAACTAAAACAGATAGTGCTGTTCCGCCGGAGTAGAAGGAGAAACTTTGAGCTTCAGAAGCCAGGCGTTTTTCATCATACATTTGCTGTCCGGCGAAAAAAAAAAAAAAACAACCCCATAAGCAAGACAACTTACGTCGGAAGACAGGTTTATTAGAAGGGCAACCCCAAACACGTCACATCGGCTGGGCATGAATCAGCAAGCAACACTAAAAATGTTGCTGCTACAACCACCATTCAGATGCATCTAAACTAAGGCTGCAACAAGAACGTGCTTATGCTGTTATAATAAGAAGCACGTAATCGTTAAACTTATCGATAGTCACTACGAGCAATCCAAACTACTGCGTGATTTTCCTTCTAACAACCGACAGTTAGTCTTGGGACCAGGCATCTGAAGCATCAGCAAACGGTTTGGCAAGTTGCCCTTCAAAGATGGATAGTGTGGCCAGACCTCGATTCTGTATTATTGATGAAAGATTAGGCTGAGAGTTTTAAAGAAGTGTCCTAGAGGGTTAATATGGTATCAGCAGTATCAATTTTTTTT